ATCGGGGAACACCATTGGGTACGGGGACCAAGTATCCTGTACGTGCATTGCAATATATGTGTACCCCACGGGTACCCAAACACATACTACATTTGGGCTTTTGTCTTAGGTCAGGATTTTCAGACCGAGTTGTTCCTTAGCATTAAGTTTATTACCCTTCAAATTTCTGGCACTTTCTGGTTTCGTTTCTTCCTAGGCTGAGAACTTTGTCTAATGGATTCGACCTTACAGTTTGATACTTGGTTAGGAACAGAGTAACTTGGAGTATAGTTACCTTGCAATTATTTTCTCTCGTTTCTCGGAAGTTCATCTACACTTGCTCGCTTCTTGCACTCCTCTGCTTTAGGTGTGTTTTTAGCGGATATTACGTTAATATGAATTTGAAAATATATAATAAAGTTAAGAACATAGTTTAGAGTCAAACAGAAAAAAGATAGACAATGATAAAGGAGCTAGAATAAGCATGAAGAGACATAAAAATATATGAGAACCTTTTAAATGAAGTTGTATAATGAAAAATGGTAACTTTTAGATAAAATGAAATAACATGTGAAAAGTGATAACTTTTAGATAAAGTGACATCACAAAATATGACAACTTTTAGATAAAGTGACATCACAAAATATGACAACTTTTAGATAAAGTAACATGTGAAAAGTGTTAACCTTTTAGATGAAATGACATGATAAAGGGTGACAACTTTTAGATAAAATAATATGATGGAATGGTGGCAACTAATTGATCTTTCATAATAGTGATGAAATATACAACGAAGTAATTGTGAATCTGTTTTTTGATTTGTACATTCATCTTCTAATTCGTATTTATCTTAGAAAGATTGTATGATACATGTTTTTTTGTGTATAAAAAAACTATATATTGTATATACTATGTTGTGATTTTATAATATCGCTTATTATGATATTTTATCTCACATCCCCTATCACCCTCCAGATATTGAAGATACCGCTGCAAAGTGAGCTGTGATACGGAGGAAAGTTTTGAAGTTAGAATATGATATTAAGGTTAATGTTTCGTATATTTATTTGATAATATAAATAAGAAAATTTAGAGTCTCGTACATATGTTTATATTTTATATTTAATGGATGTAACGTTTCTGCGACTCTGTTATAATTAATAAAGTTAAGTTATTTTACTTAAATTGAGTCTATATAATTTAAGTATACTCCAGTCATTATCTTATAAGACAAGATATAGTTTGTGACATAATATCTTATTATTGATATTCCTTATTTACTTGAAGTTATACATCATAAAAAATTATACCAATCATATACTTTTATGTTATGTCCATTTAAAATTTGTTGATAAATCACCAACGTTTACGTAATGGAATAGAAATACAACTACTATTATTTTGTACACCTAATTTTTTAAATGATTAAATTTATACTTCATAATTTTAACAAGGTGAAGTCGGTACCTAATTTTGGGTTAAAACTATTTTTTTTTTTTTAATTTTAATTATGTTTCATAAAAAGTAAAATTGGGATGTCATTATCATGATATTTATCTTGAAGTGAGCATATCTTTCCCTAATACATAATCAATGGAGTTTTACTTTCACAAGAGGCAAAAATAAAAGTACATCATTAAAATAATAACGAAAATTGGTGAAAGTATTACATATACAAAATTTAGAATTCATTAGGCACAATTAATCCAAGTAAATGTACGGGCTAAAGAGAAAAAGGCTTATGCACTTTAGTAGAATTATGGTATATTGTTTTGACTTGGGCCTAAACCAAATAAATAGTCCTATTTCAGTAAGCCCAAGCCCAAGCCCACCTAAAATATAATTTACAAGAGACAGAACCATCACACGTTCACATTGATTTTAAGAATTTTTCTTTAAAATATAATATAAATACTATTATATATTATGTATAATATACATAAATGCATTTTTTATATATATTTATTAGATATGTGTTAGTAAATTAATTTATATTTATTGACGAATTATTATAAATTGTTATTTAAAATAATTTTTATGTGAGTCATGAAAGATTGATTGTCAATAAAAAATAAACAAAAGAAGAAGGAAAGACAATTTGGAATCTTGAGTTGACAAAATATTTTTTCCCAATACATATTTCTCAAAAATTTAGTTGGGCAAATTGTAACAGGCATCCAGACATTAATTTTCAATTTAATAATTTTCAAATGATCAGGGTTATTTATGATAAAATAATGAGAAATAAATCCGAAGAAATTAAATTAAACACTATAATTAATAAATTAAGGGTCAGGGAGCCAAATGAAAAAAAAAATTAAAATTTTGAGGGCCTTCTACAATTAAAAAAAGATCAAAATGAACTAAATGTTCAAAAACGGGGCTTGGACAGAATTTCAAGAAGTTGTGACACCTCAGCAGGTGAGGTGTCAAAACGGACCAATTAGGGGAGGCCATTTCGGCCTTGTTGAAGACTGGAAAGTTAACTAGGATCTCGTTGATCTGACGGTCAGGAAACACGGAGGGGATAAATGGTCGATATCCTATCTCGCCTTATTGAACGATCCAAATCGCTTCCTATCCAAAATCTCAAATGAACAACCTAGATTGCTTCCCGCCTAAACAAATGAACGGCCTAGATCACTTAGGGAGTGGTCCAACAACAAGAATTTTATGATGTGTAAAAAGACAAAAAAAAAAAAAGGACTTAGTGAAACCCTAGATCGAAGAGTCACTATTCAAGGGGGCAAGATCAGATGACCAGAGATTATTTTTGCATGTGAAAAGATGAAAATAACTCTCATCAATCCAACGGTCTAGATCTTTTGGGAAAAATATCATATGGCTCGTGCTTAAGGTATTTAAATAAACCCTAAAATTGGTTTCTCCCCATTTTGAGAAATCACTACAGAAGATAGGAGAGAATGAGACCAGAGCTTTTCCGATGCATTGAAGGAGCAACGTCACCGCAAGAACATGGCGATCGAGAAGAAAGGAGAGAAGACAAGGAAGACCGTAGTGGACCTTTTACGCCACCAAAGCCGAACTTAAGTAACCTCCGCTCCTCTTCCCCATTTTTTTTTATTGGGATTAACCTTTCCTTTACTCATAGTCCATTTTATATCCGTTTAATTTCCTTTTAATCAATTTATTATATACTTATAGTGCATTAATTTTAGGAAAACACTTAGGGAACTAGGAAAGCCAAGAACAAAAATCAACGATGCTTGCGATTGGAATGCTTGAAATTCTTGAGTCCAGGCACTAACCCAAGGGATGCATTTCTATTTTTAGGTCGAAGTAGTGAATTATTTGAGCATTTTATGTGAGTCAAATTCGTGAAGGGTTGGGTAAGTGATTATGGTACCCTAAAACCCAAAGCACAAATGAGTTTTTGTTGATTTCACTAACTTCGTTTTGTGCTTGAAAAGGGAAATCTGTATAGAAAGCTTTAGATGCTAGCTAGGATAAAAAATGAGACACGGTCCCAGCAGTGTGAACTGGCGCGATAGAGTATGGGATGTGAAGTTCCATTTTCTATTGGGATAATTTACATATTTGCGTGATTGATTTTGTTTCATGCGTTAATTTCCTATTTGCATGTTCGCATCACCTCTTGCATTATTTAATTCTAATGACATGATTTTTAATGGAATTGCATGATGAAATTGAAATGACTAGATAAATAAATTATAGATTGAAGGGTTAAGACAAAAAATTGGGAATTGGATTAATCGACATGTGTTAGTATGGATTAAAAAGGATAATTAATGAGATTTGCGAAAATGATAAGTCGGGATCATGTATTTTAAAATCAAATTGGGAATCATGTAATTCTAATTAAGATATAAAAGGGGATGATGCAAATGCTCGGAACTTAAAAGAAAATAAAGTCATAAATTAAATGCTGAAGCGAAATAAACCCACATTCCTTACACATAAATTAACATGCCCAATAAGTCTACAGAAATGTCTATTTAGCAGCGGTTCATAAAAAAAAAATATAATAACATATGAAAATAGTAAATAAATATTGTAAGGAGGTTAACTTCTACTAGTTCTTGATAAGATTCGGAGAGACACCTATTCACAGCCCTCCTACTGATTAGGATCTGGATCTTTGTCTTCTTGATCTAAAATGGTTAATAGGGGAGAGGTTGAACTACACTATCTTAATAAGAATATCATACTACTTATTGATACAGAAACGGAAGGTTGGTAAAAATCATAAAAACAACCAATATAGCTCTTAATTTAAGTATTCATTTATCATAAGAAAAATCATTTATTACATACTATTGCGAGGTTTCCAAAATCGACCTATAGAGACAATAACTCAAATAATATTATGATCTCATAT